GAGACTAACTACTGGTGATTATAAATCACCTTCACTATGCCTCATCCTGCCCAGACCTCTAAATGCACCTATCCGGTTTAATATGAAAAGAACGAAATTACTTTGAGGTTGATTTCTGCTCTCCACCGGTTGAGGATGGGATCAGGTCTGAAGAAAAATGAGGGGAGAGGGACCACGCGTCCATGATCAAATTAAAGAAAAAAAACGGTAATTTCTCATCCGTCCAGGAGGGGAAAAGATGAACCGTTAGTCGACTGCATTACACAAGGAGGAAAAACTAATCTCCTTGGACATAAAACCTCTGTGGGTTTCCACCTGCGCCGGGTCTCGGCGTGGTCTTCGATCGGTAAATAAATCTCCTGATCTTCTCGTATCAGACAGATTTCCAGCTTTCAAGCTCTTCCGGGAATGGCCTTGTGGAGCGAAAGTTTGCCTGCGAGCTTTTGTCTCTCCAGATATGCGCCTCCATTGCGCTGTCCTGTGAGACAGGCGGGAAATGGCAACGAAACTTCATCTCCTCTGGGTTTTACACTCTTGGTGATGTCAGAGCTGCGACGTCTCTTGAGCTGTGCATGTCAAAATGTGCGACCAAAATGGATGGCCCCAGCAGGGTGCAGGGAGACAGAAAACAAAGGACTAGACCAGGTAATATAACAAAAACACAAGCAGGTATGACAGAGACAGCCATAAAAATTAAAATGAAATTACAGTCAAAAGTTTTCTTATATCAATGCATATTCAGGTTTAAAATAATCTTTTCATTTTACTGACATGTTTTTTTCTGACAGGAAGTTATATTAATATGTTGGAGTGGCTCTGCCGAGTCCCGACTTGAATCTGATTGGTAGAGAATCTTTGGAGGGAGCTTAGGTTAGTGGTTATTTCATGGAGGCCTTCCAACCTCAGGCCTTCCTTGCTCATCATCAAAAATAAATCATCAAAACATTGGAAACCTGACACTGTGACATCTGCTACGACATACGTCTAGAAATCCACCAATAGAATTGCAGCATAAAACAAGTGTTGTGCAAAATTCGGATGCCCTGAAATAATGTGTTTCCCTTGTCACACAGCACCGGTGTTACAACATGGGGGCATCACATGTATTTTATCATATAGTGTTTTCACAGAGTTCTTTAGGTTTAGGTAGGAATCCTGTGAAGTTAGGGTTAGTAAATAACAAACTGGTGAGGAGAATCCGCTTGTGTGAGGCAAGCACACAGTGTTCACAGAAGATGAACAGATTATTTCAGGGGAACTGAATTTCGCATAACACCTACATCGCAAGTTGGCCTTTTATCCCCAGCCACAACCATGTCCTACATTCGACTCCTCCTTCTCCTTTTCTTCATATTTACTTTGAGGCACATAAATGCTGCAACAACAAGGGCTGTGTTCTTTATTGTGTATTTGTTGTGGTTCTCTCTGGTGGCACAGATGGATTGCAGTGACATTGCTTACGGTTGCATGTCGTAACCGTTTATCAATAAACGGTCATCGTACGACATGCACACATAAAACTAGACGTCGCACCAAAGATTATTAGCTTCACATCATATAGTGTGTTACGGAATAGCCTAAGATTGCTAAAATCGTCCAGTGTAAGAAGGCCATAAAGGCAATTTAGAGATACCAGTTAACCTACCCGGAGAAGACCCATGCATACACAAGAAAAAACATGCAAACTTCATGCAGAAAGACCACACGCTGGGATTCAAACCCAGGGCCTTCTTGCTGCAAGCTAAAAGTGCTACCAACTGTGCCACCGTGCAGCCCTGATTGCTGTTATGTTAATCAAATGTTTTCCAGCGATAAACGGGAATGGTAGGAATAATTATGACATGATGTTTTTAAAAAATTTTGCATAAATAAATCATTTTGAGCATAGCTGTATATGAACCACTGAGACCTGGACTGGATTTTTCTACACTGATTACAAATTCTTTACAGAAAACAGTAACACCTCTAAAGATAAGTCATCGTGCAGACTGTCTGACAGCTTTTAAACAGGTGTTAGTTGTTTGAAAATGTTTGCCTTTTTCTGCTGTTTTATAGAGGAACCTACAAAAACACCAAGGTCCACCAGAGTCAACATGACATATAATCATAGTCAAACTTTACAACATACAGCAAAACCCTTGAGTAGTAATTGAGAGATAATTGCACCTGGAGCTCCAAAGAGTTGTTGCAGTGCACTATGGCATTTGTATGAAGGTAAATCTGGGGCAAAACTATTTGTGCATTGTAACTGTGAATTTAAAGCCACAGAGAGAAATGCTACAGGAGTTTTTTAATTATAGAGTTTTTCCACAATTACAAATCAACAGTTACCCCGGATTTACACAGCCTCCGTCTCCACTCCGCACAGCCTCGCCCTTCACTGTCAGTGCAATAAAAGCCAGTGATAAATGTGGAATTCAGGCCAAAACAAGTTAAAACTGTTAAAACTGCTGCCCTTTTCACAAGTTTTGTTCTACAATGGGTGAGTTCACTAAGTACAGAGAAGCTATAGTTTCTGCTTATTTATTTTGGTGCATTTAATGTTTAATCGTTTTGATTACCTAAGTTAATGTGTGACCTAATATACACAACTGCTGTTATGCACTTATATAACTATACATGTATATTTATTAATATAGCAAGGCTTTTAAGAAAATCTAGCCTGTCTTTAGTGAAATATTTGAAAATACGGATGTTGTGCATGTTCGGTTTCCTGTTGGTGCAGTGTGATCTCTGTAAACTCACTCCAACCTGGCTCTACATCGAGCAAAAATAAAATTGGGTCAAATTTTGTTAGATAACCGTCCTGCGCCACCCGGCGGAGGCAGTGTAAATGCTCTCATTGACTATACAAGGTGAGTAATTACTGCAGAGTTCAAACCTTGGTGGTGCAGAGAAGAGATGGACGCTATATAAATTGGAGATTACACCTCTTTAGATTGTTTGGTATTATTGATGAAAATTTGAGTGCCTTGGTTTATGCCTTGGTTTATCAGGTCAGCATGACCTGATAAAAGTATTCACTTCCCTTCCCTATTCCTTAATCTATGGCCTAATTCACAATCAGGGCATAGAGCAAGTTGACCTACAGATGGCTCTGCTTAGTCTCAGGAAGGGCTCCTCAAGGCTGAAGTATGAGGTAAGATTTGTGCCACATTGTAAAAGGGTTTAAATCCCATAGTCAACATGTCTAGGAAGGAATTACATATGTTTTTACGTCCCTCCTCTGGGAGCCTAGGTCTCATGGGAAGTACCTTAAAGCTGTTATAAGAGAGTTCTCTTACTTTGTCTAGTAAAAACAAACAAGGTCTGATTGCTGTAAAACTCTACTTCCTTGTCAAGGTCGTAATAAAGCTGGTTGAGTGGCAATCATCGATCTCTTCCTTTGTTAAATACGAATTTCACCATAACAATACAAGTACACAAATTGTACTTTTTGAGTCATACATCAAAAACCTCCTACATTCACAGTTTTGCTCCAATTGATCCAGAGCAACTGCCGGAGTCACACATGCACCACGAACCGGTCAGACTTAATGCTGGCAATTCAATTCAATTCAATTCAAATTCAGATATACTGTATTAATCCCAAAGGGAAATTAAATGTTGTTATAGCTCATGTCATGCAGGTTTCTTCAAAGAGCTGTTGCAGATGCCATAGGCTGTGGGTAGGAAGGACCTCTTGTAGCGGTCTGTCTGTCCAGATCTGAAGACCCTATGTAGTTGAACGACAGACTCATGAAGAGGATGCTCAGAGTTCTCCATAATGTTCTTTATTTTATGAATAATCCTTCTTTGCAAAATGACCTCCAGAGGTTCCAGCGGAGTCACCAGAACAGAGCCAGCCTTCTTTATCAGCTTGTTTTTAAGTCCCTGGCTTTGATGCTGCTAGCCCAGCAGATGAGGGCAGAAGAGATCACACTCTCCACAACAGATTTATAGAAGATATGCAGTATCTTTCTGCAAACACTGAAGAACCTAAGCTTCCTCAAGAAGTACAGTCTGCTCTGTCCCTTCTTGTTGATGGCTTCACAGTTGCATCTCCACTGCAGTCTGTTGTATTTATACTCCTCCACCACCTCCACTTCTTCTCCCATGATGGAAATTGTGTTTGACCTATTCTTGTTTCTCCTAAACTTTACAATCATCTCCTTTGTTTTATTCACGTTCAGATGAGATGATTGTTTCCACACCATGCCACAAGGCGGTCCACCAGCTCCCTGTACTCAGCTTCTTGTCCATCTCTGATCTACCCCACGACTGCAGAATCATCTGAGTATTTCTGCAGATGACAGGAGTCTGTCTTGTACTGGAAGTCTGAGATGTACAGAGCGAAGAGGAATGGTGAGAGTACAGTCCCCTGTGGTTCTGCTGTGCTGTTGACTACCTGGTTAAAAACACAACCCTTCAGTCTCACAAACTGTGGTCTGTTTGTCAGGTAGTCATCGATCCAGAAGATTGTTGAGGCCTCCACCTGAGTCTTCTGGAGTTTCTGACAAAGCAAATCAGGTTGAAATGTGGTAAATGCACTGGAGAAATCAAAGAACATGATCCTCACGGTGCTGCTGGCTTTGTCCAGATGATAGTGGGTTTGTTGAAGCCGGTGTATGATGGTGGGCCAACAAGAATCTCCCTAGGAGCTTCAATGCAAACCAAACTCCTGCTCTGCTTGTACAGAGACCGGATGGCCACTAATAAAGGGCTCCGAACACCATACTCATGTAGCATCCCCCACAGGGCACCATGAGGGACACGGTCAAATGTCTTCTCCAAAACATATTGACCGGTTGGGCAAACTCCCATGAACCCTCAAGCCCCCTGTAGAGGGTGTAGTGCTGGCACAGTGCTCCATGGCCAGGAAGAAAGCCACACTGCTCTTCTTGAACCCGAGGTTCGACTATCAGCCGGACTTTCCTCTTCAATACCTTTGCATTGGGTCTTCCCAGGGAGGCTGAAGAATGTGATTCCCCTGTAGTTGGAACACACCCTCTGGTCCCTTCTTCTGAAGGTGGACCACCACCCAGGTCTGCCAATCCAGAGGCACTTTCCCCAACCACCAAGCAATGTGGAAGAGGCGTGTCAGCCACGAGAGCCCCACAACATCCAGAGACTTGAGGTACTCAGGGCAGATCTCATCCACCCCCGAAGCCTTGCCACCGTGGAGCTTTTTGACTACCTCTGTGACTTCAGCATGGGTGATGAATGAGTCCAACCCCAAGTCTCCAGTCTTTGCTTTCTCCAGGGAAGGCTTGATGGCAGTACTCCTTCCACTGCCCGATAATGTCCTCCGTTGATGTCAACAGTTCCCCACCTCCACTGTAAACAGTGTTGGTGAAGCACTGCTTCCCTCTCCTGAGGTGCTGGATGCTTTGGCAGAATTGCTTTGAGGCCAACCGGTAGTCTTTCTCCATGGCCTTACCGAAGTCCTCCAAGGCCATAGTTTGCACTCAGAAAGTGCAGTTATACACAAATAATTCAATCCCGAGCCCAGTGCCAGCACATTTGTGTCAGGATCTGTGCCTTGTGTGTTTGTTTGGTGCTTTTACTGTGCTTAGCCCCTAGATGGCGTGGATCCTGGAGGAGAGGTGACAGGTGTTCTCTATTCCCTTGATTACCTGCTGAGGAGTATTTAAGGAGGAGGCTGCC